ATATCCACTACATACTGGGACAACTGAGTGTTGAATAGATTTCTGTACTTTGTACCCATTCTGGTAAATATTCACAGTAATTCTACTATCCATATAAGCATATCTTACAAATAATCAGAGTACTGCACATGGGTAGATCGAAATTAGAGGGTGGCAGTGATTGTACAATGCTTCAACAGTGTCCGGTCTCATTCTGGCACAGCGCACCTTACTGTCTGTTAAAAACGCACTCCTTCTCCCCTTGCCGGTCCTGCACATTCCTTTTTCCGACTTTTTCAATGCCATTTGACTTTTAACGGGGTATCAACTATTTTTAGCTTAGTCGATCCGAAAAAAATCAGCCTCGCTTGAAAAAGTGTATTACGGATTATTATTCTGATCAAACTAAAGCTCTAAACAATGGCAGGGGGTGTTATATAACATACTGTAAAGTAAGTCAATTAAGTATGCAATTTGTCATAACTATTAAGGGACATTTATGTACTCTGCACATCTCATTTCACATAGCTCAATCCTGCATTAAAAAGCCACTTGAAGAAGCCATTAAAACTATAAAAATATAAACAGCTTCTAGTAAGTTCAGAACAATGTTTATCATTATTAAATCTCGGCTTAATTTATTTAGTTGGACGCCGTAGGGAGGGGCAGTTCTATAATCCACTGATTCTCAAACACTAACACAAGCACTTGAATAATTGCACAACTGAAACCCAGCTCATTCTGCATAATGTTACGTATAACTGAGAACAATAATGTCAAATCGATATGTACAAACATTTATTGCTGGATAGCTGTGCGCAAAATAGCAAGTAAAATATTGGCGGTTTCTTTGTATGTAGACTCTGGATTTGTACTCTTTGTACTGGTAAAATTCTTTATTAGATAAACAGGATGAATATTGACACATTTTGATTGATCCTGACACTTATGCCAGGAAACAGGAAACTCTTTTTCCAGACGTGAACTTGACCTTTTTGGTAGGCTTTTTACATTAAACTGTCACAAGTTTTCACTTTTTCAGCGACATCTTTTGGCATTCCTTCAAAACCGTTGAATAAGTGTTGTTTGCCCTATTTTCGTGTTTGTCCAACATGGGGTTTAGCTTTTTAATTAGTTTTGACTCTTTTTGATTGCCAGCCGATATGTCAGAGCACCATACTTAGATTGCAAAATTCACACTGGAATTGTTCAAAACAAACAAAAGTAAAGCTTGACGGAATGCGTTCCTTTTGTTTTTGAGGGTTTTTTTACATTCTTTTGTTTCCATCYAATATGACGGATTTGGTTCCATCTGACCGCTTCATATATGCATGCATTTCTTCATTGGATGACTTTAAGCTACTGTTAAAACTTACCTATATTTAAAAACAAACTTATGATCTCTAACTTTCTACATTTCTTTGTCAATCTCTACTTAAAGTTTTTATTCTTACCTTTTATTTAAAGCGCTTAGAGAACGCTTTATAAATGCTATAGCTTAAATATTGTATTATTATTATTATTATTACATCATGCAAAAGACTTATTAAAAGTTTGGGGCCGCAGTACTCAGCCTGGAAGAAGGATTTTATTTGTTTGCCTTTCTGGACAAATAGACCCAATTGGATAAATGCGTTGCTATAAACGTTTCCATCCAATTCAAACCACCTGGGAGCAAGTTTGTTCGTTGCATTTTTTTTTATTTCACAGTTGAATTCTTAGCAACAAAAGTTCTTTTTCACACAGGATGTGAATTGGGTGACGTACATGGCAACACGTTAGCCGATTATTTCAATTATGCCCGGAAAACCGGTTTGACTTGTTTTTTACCGCTGACAATAATTAACTCGGGTTCTGAGGGGTATAAATGCGGTCGGCACTCCCTTAAAGCTGAGAACCCTTGACTGGAACATCAGTACAGCTATTCTCGACTATTGCTATTGATTATCATCATGAAGACTCTGCTTGTTTTGTGTATCCTTGCAGTGATTGCTCATTCAGGTACGCCTTATATAGTTTATAACAAGGAGTTAACACTTTTTAAAAATTTTTAAAAATTGCTACTGCAATTATAAGCATCATCAAAAGAAATTACACTGGGGTAGTTTGATTCACCTAGTGTTCACATAGAACTGGGAAGGAATTAACTCACTTTGCATGCAAACCAATTGCTTTAAAATTCCACTTTCATTGATTATAACTATAATTAAGTGTATACTGYAAGTTCGTCAGTCTGGTAACCCTAATTTAGCCAATCAATCTATGAACAAGGCGTTTTTCTTTTGGTATATTACATAACTATTACATATCTCGAACATTTGCATTTTTAAATTAAAATTGCATTAAATTAACACTTGCTTGTAAGATTGTCAACAATGTAGATCAAAATCCCTTTCCAAGGAAAAAATTCGTACAGGAACAGTTATTTAAGAACAGACCCCGTCGGCTCAACCTGTTTTAAAAAAACGTGTGCAATATGGTTTTCAGCTTTAATAAACGCTGCAATTTTTTCTCTAGTTCGGAATGCAATCTCAGGCCAGTTTTCTTGCATCTAAAAGATCTAAAATCCAAAATGCAACGGTTATCACAGCCATACATTCCTTTAAGGTGCTGCAAAAAAAAGCTGAAATGGCAGAGGGATCATCAAAACTAAGCCCTTTCCATCCCCAAATCCTCTCACATTATCCCAACTACAAATAGTTTCAGTWAGGGATTAATCTTTATCTCACAGAGTACAATAACCAAGCAAAATCCTTGAACCTAATTAACTWACAACATTAGATGGATTTTATAAATAATTGAAGATTCGACGGTAGCGTACGAAATAGGGCCTCGAAGTCCGGTCCCTGTTCCACAATCCACTGTGATGCACCCAKACGGTGTTCCGCTACATTGTCTACTACTTTCGGCAAATTCAATAGATTCCTTGGACTCTCTGTAATATTGTACAGGCGGATAACCACACACACAGTGGCGATTAACAAGAACAAAATATCAAAACAAATAGTTTTATTGAGGAATTAGTCTTTATCTCTTAATTCGCACATTACAATAACCAAGCAAACACCTTGAACCTAATTGATTAACAACATTAGATAGATTGATTTTTTAATAATTGAAGATGCGGCAGTAGCGTACAAAATAGGGCTTCAAAGTCCGGCCCCTGTTCTACAGTCCGCTGGATCCACAAGACGGTGTACCGCTATATTGTATTCCTTCGGCTCTATGTAATATTTTACAGTCAGAAAACCAGAAACACAATGGCAATTAACTTAACAAGAAAAAAAAATATTCAAATTAAACACTTTTTCCTGTATTTTTCAGCTGTTTCTTTGAAGTGCTATAATTGTGSCAGTACCAAAGGCAACTGCGTCAGCGGCGAGAAAGACTGYGGTCCRATGTGGGACTATTGCATGACAGTGTACGGTAGAGACAACGCGGGAACGTCCAAAWCATGCTCAACKAARGCGGTGTGCGATTCAACRCGCGCAACGTGCGAGAAAGCAGACAATTGCGAAGTAAAGTGCTGTGACACTGACCTCTGTAACGCAAGCGTCAACATGAAGCCTCTGATGATCCTGACCATCCTGATTCCAATCTTGGYTTACTTTTTKTAAAAAAAACTGATGTGTGATTATGTAGCTTGTGATCATATTATCATATTGAAAATTGTTATGTATCCAATATTCAAGCAAGATTAATAAAGGCGTTTGATCATACTGCAGTTGTCCTCCCTTGAAACGTAATAAAATAGCTAGTGAGTTTTCATGATATTTTATTGAAAATGTTTTCGTCGCAGAAATTAAGAAAAGCTACATCGTTGATAAAAAGAAATATTCTTACAAAACTGTCAAAACTAGCTACAGTTATCAGTGGATTCCAAGCGAGAGTTATTAGGTTTCAGATTTTTTGAACATCCGGTCTAATTTTCCAGTTTCGGGACGGGGATGTTTGCTGTGTTGTGCTTAAGCTTCCTGCTGTTATAAAAAGTACAAAAACTGTTGACTGGAATATCCCGGCATCACCCATGGCACCGAGTGTTTCCCGTCGGTCCGGGTTTTTCCAGCCGTTTGGACCATTTGATTTTTAACGGGGTGAATGTTGTGTCAACTATTTTAGATTACTGCAATCCGAAAAAAGACTATGTAGCCTACGTTCGGTTCTTTTGGCAAATAAAACCGGATGTAACGCAGGCTAAAAATATTGTAGGGTTTAAACAGAGTTCCAATATATCGGCTCGGTTGCTTCATTAATTCCATGTATTCTCAATGTATTCGGCAACTCTCGGTTGCTTCAATGTACGAGTACTCGGTGATTATTATTCTGATCAACTAAAGCTCTAGACAATGGCAGGTAATGAATAACACAATATACCGAAGCCAGTTAATTATGCAATTTTAAATCATTAGTATTAATATAGGGACAATTATGTACTTTACGATTAGTATCATACCGCATCGGTCAAAACTGCAWTGTAAAMAAAAGGCATCTGTAAAAACAGCTAGCTTTCAGTAAGTTCAGAACAATGATTCAGTCCGTATGAAATCTGCAAGTTGGCCAGGCCAGATGGTGGATAAGTTCTATAATACCATGATCACCTCGGATTCTTTCCGAGGGATGTTTACAAGCGAACATCCCTCCCTCATGAATAGCATGAGGGACGATTACTAGTAATAATCGGCCGTCGGGACTTCAACGTGGCCCTTCAACGTATCTGTCCTCGGCTTCGGGGACATTTAATCCCTAATCTCCCTCAGAGCCATGCTATTACTTATAATAATAATCCTGCTGAAAGCTATGCAAGCACTTGGTTGCGCATTTGACATAACGCAAAACCCTTGCTTCATCCACATAAATGTCACTTACAACTGATCATGACATTGTGCATCGATGTGAACGCTCTTTTATATATTGCTGGGTAACTGTGCGCAAAATAGCAAGCAAATGCGGTTTCTTTGTATGTAGACCCTGGATTTGTACTCTTTGTACTTGAACAATTCTTTAGACGTAGACGGCTTTCTGATGCACGACAAATATATTGACACATTTGATCGATCCTGACAGGCCCTGACACTTATCCAGGAAACTGGATTTCTTTGTCCAGACGTGAACGTTTTATAAATTCTAGTTGTTTTTTTTTACAAGGGTGTGTTTCATTCAGTGATTGTTCATTCAGGTACGCCTTAGTTTATAACATTTACAATTATTAAATTGGTAATGCAGTCAGCATGATAAAACGAAATTGCACTCGGATAGTTTGATTTCAATTTTGGCTCAGTCGTCTCTTTTGTTTGTTTATTGAATAGAAAGGAACGAAATAAGCCCATAAGGGCCACAAAAATTCTTGGGTTGCAACCACATAAAAAAATCCCTCGAGAAATAAAGAACTGGACTTTGGACTGGACTTTGGACTGGACTTTGGACTAAAATTTTAGCTTCGAAGTTGACGCCGGAGAACAACAGCCATAAATCGCCCAAAACTGAAGGAAATGGCCTGAAACTTCACAGAATTGAAATGTAAAGAAAAACTCAATACACAGCCGGAGATGTTTATTTTTGTTATATTTTAAATATTTCTCAAAAGTACACAAAAGCCTAGCTTGGGCTACTTGTGCCATGACACGAAAAACTATAAGTCCGGGAGTCAAATTGAAATATTTTACCAAAACTATTACAGGAGAGTGTAAATGCAGTCTAATCAACACGTAATCAAAGATACTTTACTGTATCTAGGTGCAGATGATATTCTTCCGTTGAGACCAAATTCAGTTGACAATGTTTTTCGCAGAATAAAAACTTGCATCGTTCACTGAAAAGAAATGCTCTCTTTCAAAACCTGGAGGAGCCCATGGGGTCTGTTCTTCTAAATAACTGTTCTTGTGCATTTTTTTTTCCTGGGAACGGGATTTTTTAGCTAAATTGATGGCAATCTCACAAGCAAATGCGGCGACCTTCCTTCTTCAAAATATTTTTGTTCCTGGCAAAACATTTTAAGGTCAAACTGAAGGCTTATAGAACGTTTTATGGTCAAAACGGCTCATACGGTTTTTTTTAGTTAGCGCGAAATAACTATTTTCCTGGCAAAAGTTCTTAGATCTTGCCTGGAGAGTTCTTTTTTCCTGAATTTACCGCTTGGCAACAAGTTGTAACTTACAGCTGGCTGGGACATAAGAACAGATATATTATTTCTCCCAGGAATCCGTCGTCTCCTCCTACAAAACTGTCAAGACTACACACGCTACAGTCTAAACTAATCCCCCCTAAACTTTTGTCTGCCTATTGTTTTGGAATAAAATGGGCGGGCAGTGCATAATCTACACAATCCCACTGAAGAATTAAACGAGCTTCATAAGAGGTCAGTTTTAGCGATAGCTCGGTACTAGTAGTATCAGCTTACGGTTTTTGACCAAAACTTTACGTACAAAGATGGACCAAATCAAGGCAAAGTGCCCTGTTTTCCAAGCAGGTAAAGCTTGTCCCTACAATGTACCTGGAATTAAAGGTCTTGCAGCTGGTTGTCCAGAGTTTAAGAAAGCGGGATGCCCGTTTAAAGACGTCGAAAATGTTGAAGAATTAAAGCAAAAGATGGGCAAGATGAGAGATGATTGCAAAGGTAAAGCTAAATACGACGAAGCCCTAACGGTGAGTAATAATTTGACAGTAACAGAATGTGTTTGTGTTCGCTTTCTTTACCGTTGATGTCGACATTTTTAAGCTAAATGAGCGTGCCGTCGTTATTGACTTAAATCTACAAAGGCTTTCGGTATGTTCTGCTTTTCTGCAGTCGCGTCCTCGCGTTTTATATTTCTATTGTTCGTTTTCATGCAAAGCTGCTGTAGAATAGTTAAAATCAAGACACAAGACAAATCTAAAGCTAAAATAACCATAAATGAAACGCGTTTGGAATCTTTATTCTCTGCGCTGCAGCAAAATTATGACAAGAGATTGCAAGGCTAAATTGAAAAAACTGTAATATCAAACCCACACTACGCAAATGAACGTGTTTTCTAACGAGTTTATTATAAGAGCCTGAACTAAAAATCAAGACAAGACGCACTGAAATGACCCGCAAAAATATATAAACAACGTGGTTTCGAGCGAATTCTATCGCTCAAAGCTGAGTTATTTGACTAGTCAATATAAAAAAGCGACTTGACAACAACCAGCGGCGACGTTTTAAACTTATCCTTTGCTTGAAGCTCAAAATAAAACACAAGAAATTTTATTAATCATTTCGGAAATGTGTTTGTGAGATACGTACCTTTTGAGCATGGGGCATTAGTTACCAAATCATTATTTCCAGCAGCACTCGTTACAGTTATAAAGTTAGTTACTATAGCTATCTATTTCACTTTCACCCTATAATCAACAATATAGGGCAATTCTTTTTATGGCCTTTCAATAAACTCGAGTTCCATGAAGGATGAAGACTATATTTAACACAAGCTCTAGCCCTTCCCGACATCTTTCCTCTGGGTTTAACAAAGAACAAAACTAGCTCYTWATTTCTTTCCTTGTGGGTGGGACATTTTTTAACAAATTCCTCCTTCTTCATTAGGTAGCTTTTAATAARGTTGTTTGGCTTCCARGTCTCTTGTGTATTACCTTTTGTTTTTAAGAATTGTTTTGGTTCAGTGATATCTACTGTTAGATACAAATAGTCAGTAAATAAAAACTAATAGTTACKACTTCTTTGATTTTGTTTCACGGTGCAAGTGTGATGACTCTAGCTTCATCTCTCTGTTTGATGTGTTTTTTCGTTTATGAACAAAATTCCTCAATGGTAGATYCATAAAGAGAATTGGTTAAAAWATTCTGGACTGCAGTGGGAATGAACTACAATGAATTTTCATTCAGTTGTTGTTTTGTTTTTGGTTTTCATAATATAATAAGTCCGACTCAAAATCAGTTTCTCCTCATCAAGAGAGATTATCTTCATTCTTATATTTCTGAACTCTAAAAAAAAAAAAACAAGAGAAAGAACAATACGATAAAGTACAAAAAATAGACATTATCAACGTGATCCCGCTCTATTTAACCCGGTTAAATTAAGTTTTAGTAAAATATTGAAATAGTGAAAACGAGTCTGCTTTTGGTTGAGGGTCGAGGGTAGTACGTCGAGGGTCGAGGGTAGTTGGTCTAGGGTCCAGTTTTTCATGTGGGGGGTAGAATACATCCCCAGAACAATTAAAAGCAACGACTTAGTAATAAAGCAAACTTAATTTTAACCAAAAATAAACGTCTTTATGAGAGCTATCTGTACCATGACACTCGTCACTTCGTGTGTTTACTGACGCTACTTGAAATCCAAAACCATTTGTTATGCGCAGCGCGGATTTGAGAGATTAGACTCCCCACGGAGATTCGGACAAACAGTAGGCATGTTGCCAGACCCAAGATCAACACAGAACGTTCCGAAGGCTAGGTCGACTTGAGTTTTACCTTTTAGTCAATCTATCTATTATGTGTCATGTCGCGTTTGGACCACCGGAAGTTAAGAATTTATTAAAATGTGTAAATAATGTAAGTGATGCTTTTATTATTCYAGAATTATGCACAAATCTTTGACCTCTTTATACTAGATATGTATTTTTATCGAGTGAATTCTTCGTTTGCACGTTACGTCATAGATCCCATGAAATCGATTTTACTCTAAAATATAGTTTAGAAAACTATGTTTCGAGTTAATTTTTGAATTTATATGCGAAGAATTTGATGCACAACGTGTATTTGGCAGCCAAAGTCATGTCACGCGCATGAAAAGCCGTGGAAATCGTCTAAAATTCTTCTAAATCGTAGATTTTTGCTTTAATATAGATTTAGAATTGCTAAATGTAGTGAAAATAAGGTATATTTACTACTTTGTACCCGAAATTATGTTCATAACAGTTAACCGCCATTTCTGGTGGACTTCAGAGGTCCACCAGTACGGTGCCRCCATACATTTCTTTGTAAAGATCGGCATATCAAATTGCTTATAAACTTGCAACAAAAACTCGGTTCGACTCAAAATTTCACAGAATTACAGAATTTTAATACGTCTATTATGTGAAAGTACCGAAATTTTATCTTTGATTTTAAAACTCTCTAAAAATGTTGGTGCAGATAAACATGACCTGATCGCCATACTTTTCCTTCTGAAAAAAAATAGCGTATAAAATTGCTTATATCTTGGCAAATAAAACTCCTTTCGCCGAAAAAATTCTCAGGGATACAGAGTTTTACTACTTATTTATGGCTAATTTTACGGAAAATTTATTTTTAATTTCCATGACGTACGTGCAAACGAAGAATAAAGACTTTTTAGAATTTTATTCAACCATAGAGCGGATTTCGTATGAGTGGGAAACGGACGGTATTGTACTGTGACCGTAATCGTACTGTAACCAAATCCTAGTGCCCCATTGGTTCACCAAAATTGTGCAGGCCAGGTTCGGTAACTGTGCGGTAACCGTGCGGTAACGATCTGATCTAAAAGTACACACGAGTGACCACGAGGACACACGAATGACCACGAGGACACACGAGTGACCACGAGGACACACGGATGACCACGAGGACACACGAGTGTAAAAATAACAAAAAAGTTATTTTTTTTTATTTTTGAATATTAAGAAGAAAAAACAACCAAAAACCAAAACCAAAACCAAAAACCAAAACAGTGAAAAAAAAAAAAAAATGAAAAATGAAATGAGTGAAATAACTATTCAACAAACAAATTTTTATCCCAACACTTCTTTTAATCATACATTTTATACTTATTGGGTATAATTGGGGAAGGAAGTTTATTTATTTATGACTGCACTAAAAATGACGTGCAACATCTCTAGTAAAACATGAACAAATCATAGCTTAAAAGAAACTAATTCTACGCAAATTTATAATACAAAAAACAACTAGTACTCCTCATTGGGGAAAGGAAGTTCATTTAATCAACAGCTAGGAAACTACAAAACACTGCAGAAACATAAAAATAGGCTGATGTAAATAAACCTCGGCCCACCAAGAAACCCCCCAATGAGAAGGAAAAGTTGTCTAGAGATAACCAGACTCGATATCTACCTAAAGGATAAAATGCGAGAATGTATGGTATCCGCTTGCCTCGGCTTCGAGGAAAGCGAGAACTCTATAGGTAAACTAAGATCTATTTAAGTAGAGCGATAAATTGCCCCTTACAAATGATTAATACTATCAATACTATCATAATTGGAGGCGATGTTATATTTCAGTGACCTTCTAACTTCATCAGTTGGTCTCTCTGGGTCGATATCATTATCAGATTCTCCAGAATCGTCGCTTAAAATTATGATGGTATTCTTACTGTTGTTCTCTTCTTTTTTTGGAGTGAAATCTTTCCTCTTCATACTGTTAACTGTAGACTGTATGCAGGCACCATCACAGGTCAAAGAGGTTCTTCAGAAGAGATGGCTAACTTATGAACTCGAGTGTCACAAGATTGACAGTAATCTCATGTTTGACCTCTCCAAGCGTCAGCTCAGCATGATATCATTTACAATTTAGCGTCAATATAATATAAGGTCAATTTTTCTGGTTTTTTAAACCAAAAACGTATCAAAATAGAATTTATTTATTTATGTCCTCGTGGTCACTCGTGTGTCCTCGTGGTCATCCGTGTGTCCTCGTGGTCACTCGTGTGTCCTCCTGGTCACTCGTGTGTACTTTTAGATCATATCTGCGGTAACAGTGTCCCACTCATACGAAATCCGCTCTATCATAAAGTGACTAAGAGACTTTATCGCTGAAGAGATTATATGAATTTACAAAATGTAATTAGTAAATGCTCACACCTTGACGCTCATAGTTACATTTTGTACATTATTTATACATGTAAGTGTTCAATTTGACACCCCTCAAGCAACATTTCGACAAAAAATTTCATGGGCATTAGATCCATTGGAAAAACGCCTTTGGTTTTTGAAAATGATTTGTTCTAGTTCCTTGGTAAACAAGTGGTTTTGGATTTCAATTGCATAACAGTATCGTCAGTAAACACATGAAGTGACGAGTGACATGGTACAGAGATAGAGCGGATTTCGTATGAGTGGGACACCGTTACCGCACGGTTACCGCACAGTTACCGCACCTGGCCTGCAGAATTTTGGTGAAACAATGGGGCACTAGAATTTGGTTACAGTACGATTACGGACACAGTACAGTATGGCGCTCAATCTCCNCAGATGTTGACTTATTAAGACTAAGAGTCGACCACCTTAATAGGATGCTTGTTTCACTCCATATACACGATGATATTGTGAACACAGTTAGTGAATTGTATGATCGACTTAGTTCTCTAGCAATGCAAAACCCGGTGCAAAATACAGACGAAGTCACAGATGAAGTTCCTTTCGTTCGAGGTCGCCCATTCATACGAAATCCGCTCTAGCTCTCATAAAGAAGTTCGTTTCTTCACAGGTAGCCCAAGCCAGGCATTTGTGTACTTTTTTGAAATATTTWAAATACAACAAAAATAAACATCTCCGGCTGTGTATTGAGTGTTTCTTTACATTTCTGTGAAGTTTCAGACCATTTTCTTCAATTTTGGGCGATTTATGGCTGTTGTTCTCCAGCGTCTTAAGAASAAGGGGAAGGTAGCACAGTAATCTGAGCTCGGCGCCCCGAGGCCGTCAGAAACTCGCTTCTAGCTCGCTTAAAATTACGAATTTCTAAAATTCCTTTAAATTGTCTTTGCCCCATAATAACTCCTTCCACAAACCAAAGTTCTTTTCAAAACTCGCCGTTTCACTACGAAAACCGTTTGTATCTCAACGACATCGGCGAAATCCGATGCTTGTGACGATCAGRGTCCAAACTCTACTAACCCTCCCCATCCGTGTGACAAATATTCGAATTAAAAAACGAACAAAATCTTCAGATATATAGTGTTATTCAATTTCACTGTGCTTTTAACATGCTATCAAAGAAAAGATCATTTGAATAAAGTACTAATAATGACTTTGTTGAATGTAAAAGAAAGAAAGGGTATGGTTTCTCGATCTTTTGTACAATGGTCGTAACGGATTTGTCTAAAAAGTACACAAATGCCTAGCTGGGGCTACCTTGTTATGTTTTATCGATAACTCTACTTGAAAATTAGATAGTGCGCTATTAAAATGGTGCCCTGAATGCAAATTACTTATGTGGATATTTTTACCTTTTTGCGAAACGTTGAATGTATTTTCGGATAAAGCATATGTTTCGTAGTGCGTATAGTCTTGATATAGCCTCCTTCACAGGCGCGTCACATTAAGCATTCAAAAAAATAACGTGTGATGTGATTTCTTATTTTTTTCATAGGTTATTCAAGGTGTTAGCAAAGAACAAGCTKCCAAACATGGCCACTGCCCATTCTTCAAGGATGGTTGTYCATTCCTGAGCGATAATGATGGAAAACCAATCGTATGTCATCTATCTTCAGTTACACTTGCATGCAAGCGTTCCCATCCCCCTGCAWATCAACAAAATTGCACTTAATCATTCATCGATATGTGATGCATATAATTGATAGAATTGAGAGAGAATATAGGTCCAAATTTCCACTGTTTCTGAACATTTGTTCCTGATGTTAACATGCTGTGATGAAAGGTTTTGTTGTTTTTTTTTCTTTAGTCGAGTGATATTACAACATTGGACTACATCAAGGAGCACTGCCCAGTCTTTCAGCAAGGTCGCTATTGCCCCTATAACATCCCTTGCCTTAAAGGACTTGGAAAAGGATGCCCCGAGTTCAAAAACGGGTGTCCATTCAAGGACGTGAAGACCGTTGGCGAGTTCAGAGAAAAGATGGGTCAGATGAGAGATCAGTGTAAAGGAACTGACAATTACAGGAAGGCATTAGAGGTTTGTCACTAAGAAGTATTATAACTTTTGGGATTAGGGTGATCTAGTGTTATAAGACAACATTATCGGATCTATATTTATGAATTAGTTTTCTAGTAAGCTCGTTACTAGGTTACCGTCAAGCTCCACTTGCGGTTTTGCTCTAACAGAACAGATACTTAATTTGACATTATATTGGATATACATAAAATATGACATCTGTTTGTACATATCACGTTTCTCCTAGTTGTTTTAGGTCTTTTAGTATTCCAATACATTTGTCTCGAATATAATTTAGGTTACTATTTTGATAGGTTTTCTATTTTGTCTTGTTGAAGTTGTGTGCCTCGACTAAGCTAAAGTCTGGTTACACCTTGTGACTCCTTGGTTTATTTTTAATCTAATCTTTTTTATTAATTTCCAATATTCCATTTAACTGTGGGATAAGCACT